TACTGAGTTTGTACAAAACGCCAAGCCACAAAATAATTGACCAAGGTTAATATTACCTACCTTTAGCATGCTGTGAGAATGCAGTCACTAGGTCTTTGCTTGATACGGTCAAGCACATCACTCAAACACCACTTTAATGTGACTATGTTGACTATGCAGAGGTTACTAGGGGAATACACTTGGTTACCACTCCAAATTTATATTTTCAGCTGAACTCCCTTTTGCTTTAATCTATTTGCTTTTGTAAAATATGTTTTTACAAAATTAATCTATTTACTTTGGTAATGCTTTTTTTTTTGGTAACCCCCCCCCCCGCCCTCTTACATTTAATCATCTAGAGCAAGCTGTGTGTATAGGTATTTTATAAATAAAGAATAAAGCACTCATTAATTAACACAGGATTGCCCTTCTGTAAGGACTGCAGTGTTCTTTGAAAAAGAAAAGCCAAAGAGCAGAGAACAGCACACATTTATGTGATATTAAAACTAAAGTGAAGTTAAACCAAATATTGAATTTGCATAGTTTATTCTTGGTATGTCATTTGAGATTGGCATGTGTGTACCCCGAGAATATCTGCATTCTTCGAATAAGTAGTCTATTCTTTTTCAAATAAAAAGTAGGATTTTCTGGAATGGGTCTATGAGTTTACTAATTTTCAAGGTTATCATTACACATAGATCCTGGGAATTCTCTAAAGAATATGGGGGCCCAAATCTACTTAGGCCATGACAACACACTGGGCCTGCATAATTTATTCCACAAGCTGGATATAGCCCACCAACTGTACCTGGTGGGCCTTCCAAGTTCATCAGAACACAGTGTCCCCCACAATTTCAGTAGAAGGGCCCACACATCCCAATCTCTCTTATTTCCCATTCAATTCAATGGCAGAGAATTTACTGATGAAGGCCTTCAAAGGAAAAGAGAATTTGGGAGACATTTACATGGGCAGAGAGTTGTTCTTGATGGGCAGAGAGTGATGTTTCTCTTCTATTACCAATGTTTTTGTAGATATTTGATAGCGAGGTGGCCAAGAAGTGTGAATGACCTGTCTTTTATTGTACAATCCTCATTCTAGCTGCTTTCCAGATTCCAATTAATTCAGTAGAGGACTCTTTTCATAGAGCTATTTCAATAGTGCTGACCATGAAATATGATTATAGGATTTGTCCTGTATAGGCCTCATTTCAGAGGGGCAATGGAAAAAGACGCCAACCATTCCTGATCTCTGATCAACCATTCCTACTATCTGCTGAGCTGTGTTCTCCTTGCTGGCTGTGTGAAACATTGTAGCAGAAGGTCTTCTGAAGAGTTTGTAGCCTACTTAAATCTTCCGTAGCCCTCCTGCTATTATGAGGCAGGGAGGAAAGGCAGATTTTAAGGAGGTACATGGAGAACCTCCAGGTCATGGGCCAAATAGAATTTGTGGAAGTTCCCACTCTGGTCTACACCAGAGTGTAATTTTCAGGGATTCTGCCCTTATTCACCAAGTCCTCTTTCCCAGAGTTTGTACTCCTTATTCAGAAGGAGTACAAGCTGAGCTGATATCCTATTATTGCTATCACTAGTAGTTCCCGATGGAAGTAGATAAGGTTATTCTAAGGTTACAACTATACTTTTTGGTATATCTGATTCAAAAAAGATGGGCAACATCTTTTCCTCCCCTCCTCCACATTATGGCTAATTTTGAGGGGTATTTAAAGGTAAGGGGGTATTTTTCATTTATTTAAAATCCTTGAATCACTGCCCCGCCTCACAATTTTCCCTGTGTTAAGAAAGTGTTAAGTGATTTTCTTAAAATCACTTCAACCTCCTGATAATAACAAAAAAGGGGACACTTTTGCCTCCATCTCTTCCAATGACATCATAATGTGGAGTTCTTGGTATTCTCTGAGCTTGGTTGTTTGCTTGCAGACATCTCATTACTCAAGTAGGTAACATCATCAGTGTGGGTGAGTGTGGGGTTTGCTATAGTAGCTTGCTCTGCCAGTTTTGGTGGGGGTGTGGTTTCCTCCTTGGTGGTTCCTTGATTATTTTTTTCTGCCTGATTGATGATCCCTTATCTGAGTGTTGGCTGCTGGAAGGGATGTGTTCCAGTCTTTTTTTTTTTTCCTTCCTAGGTTTTTTTATTGTCTCTTTTGCATGGTGTGTAATTGTGGAATACCTCTGTGTCTAACCTAAGAAAGATAAGCCAACACTCAGATAAGCAGGAATCAACACCAGGAAATAATCAAGAGGAAAAAAAAATTCTAATCAAGGAACCACCAAGGAGGAAACAACACCCCCACCAAAACTGGCAGAGCAAGCTACTATAGCAAACCCCACACTCACCCCCACTGATGATGTTACCTACTTGAGTAATGAGATGTCTGCAAGCAAACAACCAAGCTTAGAGAATACCAAGAACTGGCAGGACAAGCTACTATATATAAACAGGCAGCAAGCCCCACACGCATCCACACTGATGATGTTACCTAGTTGGGTAATGAAACATCTGCAAGCAAACAGCCAACCTCAGAGAGCACCAAGAACTCCACAGTTTAACCCTGAGCTACAGATATTCTCTTGTATTGGATCATCAGAATGTCCCAAGCCTGCCTGTTGAAGGCCAAATAAATGAAAACTGGGGTTCCATTTTGATGGCAGAGAGCATGGAAGACACAGAACAATGTAATGTAGGCCCTCTGGTCCCTTTGTCAGCCAGATTTGAGCTGGGTAGAAATACTGGGCCTAGTTCATAGAATCCTGAAGTTAGAAAGGCCCACCTGAGGAGAAGAGAGAGGGAACCTTGATTTTGCTAAAGCTCCTGGATTTCAGCTTCAGTGCATCTGTAAATATTTAAGTGTTGTCCTCCACTAATCTGACTCCCGAATCCCTCTGCCATTTGATGAATGTGCGATGACACTACTTAGTTGCAACTCCATGACCTCTCAACCCCTTCTCTACTGTACTGACATCATACAAGTTACCAAGCAAAAGGTGTAGATTTGAGGCTAGGGGTGAGATTATTCTTTTGACAGCAAGAGTGTAGGAATATAATTACTTCTTCCTTCCTTCCTTCCCAATGGTGAACTCTATCAGGTTTTCACTGTTACCAAGCACAGACCCCATCCCTCAGCTAATACCTGTCATTTCCTTAGCTAATGCAATTTTTCCTGTTGTGTTCTCTATACGCCACCCTGGTCCTAAGCAACCTCAATGGATAACGCTTCTAGCATGCCACACCATAAGGGAGTTGCTGGTCTTTCCCGTATGATGCCAAACTTTCAGCTTAGAAAAGTGAGTGAAAAAATAGGAGCTGGCTTCTTAAATGGCTTGTGAAATTTTTTATTTTTAAATTGGAATAGAGCACTATTCTGCATTGGTTGAGCCCAACCTGGGCTCTTTTCAGAACAATTTGGAAGCCATTATGCATCCTTTCCTCATCCCTATTAACTCTGCCTTAAAGGGGTGCAAAGGGGATCTTTAAAAAAATGTATTTTGATAAATCCCTTGCAGATACTTAGCGGAAACTTGCCAGGGTTAATATCTAAAGAGCCTACCATCTCTGCTATTTTCAGCTCATTTTGCCCCCAAAATGATAGAATTACAGGAGTTCTGAGGCTTCCCGATGATGCCTTGTGGATGGATTCTGTTTTAAAATTCAGCCTCCAAGCTGCTCAAACTGAATCAGATTGTCTCTGAATCTCCCCTTGAAATTGAAGTAGGGCTGATTAACGTAGCCCTAGGATTCTTCCTGAGAAGCTATGATGATGGAAGGGGATTTTAGGCATTAGGTTAAGGGGCTGGAGAATGGATTATTTCTGAGGGTTGTGAGACTGGATATGAAGAGGCTGGGCTTGGTAAACTAAAGTTAGGGTGGACTCAAAGAAGGGGTCCCACACAGACTTGTAATAATCTTGCAAACTGCCTGCCTTGTACTTAAATAAAGAGATGCCTAGCTAACGCCAATGTCTTCTGTCTTTATTTTAAATATGGGTACATTCCATTGCCTCATTTATTTATTCATTATATTTGCATCTCGCTTCTCATTCAGGAGCTCAAGGCATTCCCTCCTCCTCCTAGTGTTCCCCACCACAGCCTTATCAAGGAGGTAGGGCTGAGAGTGAGTGATTGGGCCCAAAGTCACCCAGGGAACCTCCACAGCTGAGGGGGGACCTGAGCCTGGGTCTCCCACTCCTAGATCTACAATATAGCCACTATACCACATTGGTTCTCTGTGCGTGAGTGGTGCCTACACAAGAGGAAACCCCTGTTGAGCAGGGGTACAAAACCTGCAGTCCACGGGGTCCATGTGCCTCCCAAGCCTGTCCTCCCAGCCCTTTCAACCTTGATTGATGAAAATTGCAAATACATTTCCCAACCATGCTGATACTTACAATAGGTTTCAAAAGTAAAGGCAATGGCTCCCCAAAACCTTTGCCTTGCCCCTATAAGTTAAGCTGGCACTGCCATTTTGGCAGCCTCCAGTTATGTTTTTGCCCCTTTTCTAATTAAGTGTAGTAGTCCCAGAAGATTGTAGTTTCTTTCCCTACTAATATTGAATCTTTGGCAGTTTTGCCTTCATTTTCAAGTTGCTTTATTCATCTGCCAGCACAGGGCAGAATTTTACTTCCATTATATACTCCTGTCTCCTGCCCAATTTAATCAACTGTGTGCCCAATCAAGCCATGTTGTTTCTTGGGATCTGAACAGAGAAAGTTCAAAAGTCCCAGGGATTGTTCTTAAAAACCAGTGAAGGGAAGCAAGTCTTCATCTCTAATTGCCTTTGGGTAATTTGGGAAGACTGCCAACTCTTATAATATTTTGGCTTTTGGGGGGGGGGCATATACAGAGAAAGTATATTTCATTTCTATCCTTTCTGGATTTAAATAGTTATAAATTATCAAGAAAAAGGGAAAGCAAGGAAGAAAAAGAGAGAGACTTTGGTAGAAGTGGTCAAAGTAAGGCCGCTGGTGTTTTTTTAAAAAATTGCACTCAGGTCTTCAAGCAGTCCTTGGAAAGCCCCAGATGCTCTCAGCTAAATGATTCTTTGTTGTATTCAAACTTTGTCCCATAAGGATTGTTGCTATTGCTCTGTTTGTGAATAGCTTTGGAGATTCCAGGGGGGCCGCAGCAAAAAACGCCAACAGTTTTCCTGTGGAGACCAAGAAGAGAATCACTGAACTCATCAATGCAAAGGGTTACACTGAGACCACCCTTCCCTTTCTCCTTCCCTTCACTAGCTTGTAAGAGCCACACTTTAGAATGGCTTGCTCTATCATTCAGATGCAATAATCATTTTCCTCATGAGGTTGTCTGAATCTCATGGTCAAATATGAATCGGGGCCATGCATAACTGACCTAAAAGGCATTTTCTTATAGGCCCTGCACATTTTGGATTATCTTGGTTGACTGTCATTCTTCTTCTCCAGTACCACTTTCTGGGTTCATCTGGGCTTCATCAACCATAACTCCCTCCTCCTCTAACCATTAGCTTGAGCTGATATAGAGGACAAAATGGGAAGAATACTACCACAGAACGTTTCTTATTTGGGCTCAGTATCCTGTAGTGAATTTAGATAATTTTAGGTCAGCCCTCTCTACCCTAGATCCTCTGGATATGTTAGATTACAACTCCCATCAGGTTGTCTCTACCCAAGCAGCCTGCAGATGGGAGCTGTAGTTCTACATATCTGGAAATGATCAGGGTGGGGAAGGATGTTTTCAGTGTTGGACCTAACAATCTTATGGACCCAATGGGCTACCTTTTAGTTTAATTCCATAGATCCTGACATATTAGTTCCCTTATTTTGGAATCAAACTCTGGGTATCTGCTCACTTGTCCCGAATCATTGCTTCCTGCATCCTAATGTGCACAGTACACTTGTTCTTATCACCAACTGAACCTTGGGTGTTTGAAGGATTCAGAGCATAGCCCCATCAGATGTTAGACTAATAGATTCTGTGATTCTAAGGTCATCAAGATTAACCCCGCTTAATGCAGGAATCCAATCGAAAGCTTTCCAGACTGGCTGTCTACTCTCCACTTGAACACATGCTTGGAAAGAAAACTGACCATCTCTCAGGACATTGGTTCTATTGTTGAGGTTCTCTTATCATTGGAAAGTTTTTCTAACATTCAATCCAATTTGCGTTCCTGTAACTAAAATCCATTATTCTGTATCCTGCATTCTTGAATAAGAAAGAACTTTCTATCGGAGATGATTTCAGATATTTAAAGAGTGCAACCTTCCCCCACAATCATTTCTCAAGTCTAAACATATCCAGCTCCTTCAATCTCTCTAAGTCATAGTTTCTAGTTCTTTGATCACATTTGCTGCTTTTCTCTGACTGTTCCAATTTCTCTGAATTGTGATGCGGTGCCTACTCAAGGTGAGGCCAGACCAGTACAGAATACCATGAAATGATTATTTCTTATTCTTCGTTGACATAGTCTAAAACTGTATTTGTCTTTATCTAGTTCATCCATTTACAACTAATTACTGTTCTGAGATCTTTTCCCCAAATACCATGGTCAAGCCAGGTATCTCCCAATCTATGTAAGTGCATTTGATTTGATTATTTTTGATTTATTTATTAAACACATTTATATAGCCACCCATCTACCAAAAGGAACTCTTTAAAAATATTTTTGCTTTCTAAGTGAAGAACTTTGCATTTCTCTGCATTAATTTTCATTCTGTTTCTTTCAGATCATTCCTCCAGGCTTTCAGGATTGTTTTGAACTGTCTGTCTGTCTGTCTTCTAGGATATTAACTATCTCACTCAATTTTGGATCAATTGCAAATTTAATAAGCATTCCCTCTGCCTCTTCACTGAAATTTAAATGAAAATATTGAAGAACAGAGGTTCTAGGACTGATCCTTGTGGCATTCCTCTCAAAACTTCTCTTAAGGAAGTTATCCAATCCAAAAATGAGATAAGGTTAGTCTGGCAAGTTTTACTTTAGACAAAACCATACTGAATTCTGCTAATTGCTACATTTTTTTTCAATGCAGTTAGAGTTTCTCTTTCTGTTCGTCTAGGATTTGGAATAAACCCTGCATTTCTCAGGACTCACTGGATGCTTAGTCCTGCACTAGGAAAGATGGGAAAAGTGACCCAACTCTCCAAAGTCATGAAGCCTTGAATTTGTGTGATCAGTACAACTATCAGAGAGGTGTTATATGCCCGAAGTAAGTTGAAGAATGGCTGGTGAATCCTCATATTGGTTCAGGATCAATGTAATTTCTGAGTCAATCTGAGTCTAAAGATATGAAATAATTCTGCCATGAATTCTGCTGGTTGTGTATTTAAACATTTTGCTTTCACTGGACACTATGGCACTTAAAATGATAGTCATAAGCAGAATCTGGCCAGCCTTCCATTTCCTGTTAAAAATTCATTGAGCTGAATGGAGACTGGGCTAACTTTGAGCAGTGTGGCTGATGGGTCTTTTAAAAATATTCTTCATTAACATAGTATATTTACATGGTTTGGGGATTCTTCCCAAGGGGTCTTCTTCTTGAATGCTCCCTAGAATGCCCAGGTGACCTCATTCATTAGAAAAGAACTGCTCTCCCAAAGCAGGCAATAAGACAAAACAAACATGAAATATTTTAAGTATTCTTATATTTTAAACTCACTTAAATCTTGCCTATAGGAATCAAATGGAGTAGAATAAATGCCATTCTCTTTGGAAAAGGACCGTATAGGTCTAAATAATAATAAAATAAACATGTGTAGGAATGTTCATATCCACTTGGGCAGAAAGAGGTCTGTGAAGAGTGTCATCAGACCCAGCAGAGTCTAGACTACATGACATGATGCTAGACCTATGTGGTAATGTCTCCAGCTCCTTTTTTGTTTCCTGCATGGCTACTAGGGTTTTTGGATGGAGTGTGTGTGTATGTGATATTTTTTGAATGAATGAATGAATGAATGAATGAATGAATGAATGAATGAATGAATGAATGCATGCATGAATGAATGAATGAATGCATGCATGAATGAATGAATGAATGCATGCATGAATGAATGAATGAATGCATGCATGAATGAATGAATGAATGCATGCATGAATGAATGAATGAATGCATGCATGAATGAATGAATGAATGCATGCATGAATGAATGAATGAATGCATGCATGAATGAATGAATGAATGAATGAATGAATGAATGAATGAATGAATGAATATATATATCCCCCCTCATCCCTATGGGTGGTATGTTTCTTCTTCAGTCTCAGGTCCCCTACCCTAGGGTTCTGCACAGTATCTTAGCTGTTCCTAGCACTACTCTTCTGGACAGAGAGCTCTGATGTTGTCCCAGGATCTGTTGGAGCCACTCTCCCAGCTTAGGAGTCACAGCCGCAAGTGCTCCTACCACCACTGGGACCACTTTGGCCTTGACTTTCCAAATCCTCTCTAGTTCCCTCTTCAGATCCTGGTACTTCTCCAGCTTTTCATACTCCTTCCTGACGTTGCTGTCACTTGGCACCACTACGTCTATCACCACTGCTGTCTTCTGGTCCTTCTCTACTACCATAAAGTCTGGATGATTGGCCAGTATCTGCCTGTCCATCTGGACCCGGAAGTTCCACAGGATCTTAGCCGTGTTATTCACCATGACTATTTCTGTGGAATCTCCCATTTGGACTTGGGAGGGTCTAGCCCATACACTGTGCAGATGTTCCTATACACAATACTAGCTACTTGGCTGTTCCATTCAGTGTATGCTGTTGCTGCCTGCATCTTACACTCTGCCACTCTGTGTGGAGGCCTCTCTGCACAATCTGCACCTTGGGTCCTGTCTAGTGGGGGTAGACCCCTGCTTCCATGGATCTGGTGCTTAGCACCTGTATATGTGTGTGATCATTTTAATAGCCCCAGCTTCATTCTCCCCAGCTCTACTACATTTTCTTTGGCTGGCCAAAACACATCATTCTAACTTCAGATGCACAATACATTTGTTTGAAAACACTTATATATTTGATCTGATCTTAATGACTTCAAGACAGCGTTTGCCTTTTTCACAGCAGCTGCTGTTTGGAGCAACCATATCATGCAACTATTGCTTATAACTCCCAGTTCCTATGCCTGATCTGTCTCCACAGCTTAGAAGCCTTGTTCTTTATGAGAAAGAGTTTCAAACATAACAAAACTGGTCCAGAGAGATCTTTTTTGGGTTGATGCATTAATTGTTGGCATCTGTCCATCTTTAGATGGGTCTAGGCTTCCAGCGTTCCTCTGGGTGACTAATTAATTTAATTGGTCTGGTGCTTGACGAGGCTGATCTTGGATTGACAGGACCGACCACAAGTCTTATGCCCATAATCTCCTGTGGGAAAGTCACAATTAATAATCCTTTTAATGTTGCCAGGAACATTTCATGGTGACGGCATAGATGTCTATGATGCCAGATGTTCTTATCAGTTCCTAATCATTACTGTCATTTTGAAATAAGATGATTCTAAAAGGACCACACCAGTTACCTATTTTGTGGATCAGTTCTACCCAGTGATTAATGAGCTGCCAAGAATCAGAATTTGAATCTCCTGTTTGGTTGGACCACTTGTTTTTGTTGCTAAACTTCACCTGAAAACTACTACTACTACTACTACTACTACTACTACTACTACTACTGTTACAGAATGTTTTGCCAAGATGCCCCACAGTTCTACACCAATGATGCATGTGCAATCACATGTCACTCTACCACCATTTTTTGTAGCATAATGCCACTAGCTTTACTCAAATCCTCCACGGCTTCAACTCCTTCCAAACTGCCTATGTACACACACACACACACACACACACACACACACAGAGGGAGAGAGAGAGAGAGAGA